AAAAAATTAATTATTGAGATATAGCTATAGACCTAACGTATAACTATTATTTAAAAAAAAAATCAACTAAAAATATTAACTGGATCAAAAGTTATTTAAGTTGTCAGTGAGTGGTGGGCCACCCTGTATAGATCATTATTAAATAGTCACTAATTTAGTTGCAAAAAATATTAAAAAACATGTAAACTAAACTCATAATAACCCACCCAACTTAAACAAGAACTTTGAGGACAGTCGACCATGGAAAGTCAAAGACAAAAGCGGAGTAGGTTTTTTACCTTATCCTAAGAGAGAAGAGGTTCTATGATTAACAGATTTGATATTAACATAACAGTTATTAAATAAATTAGTGTTGTCATAAACATAAAAAAATATAAAACAAAATTAAATAAAACCATAAGATCATTTAAATCGAATTAAAATAGACAGATCCTAAGAACAATAAGAAGAACACACACATATATATATATATAATAAAATCATCACAATGAAATATTAAATTTAAAAATTAGTAATAAACTTATAGCCAAAGAATTTGGTGATGATCAATGAAAAAAAAACGGTAGCACAGTGGGGTCGCGGCATAGTATAGAATTATTTTAATAGTAATATTTTGAACGTTTCACAGTTTTATTTAAATAATTTAATTTTTTTTTAAGTAAAAGTTATGAGTTCTAGTTCATATTTTACTTTTATTTATAAATAANTTTTTTTTTAAATAAAAGTTATGAGTTCTAGTTCATATTTTACTTTTATTTATAAATAAAGTTATCGTTTACCCCTCTCGTGAAACCAGGATGTTTAAAAGTTTAAACTTTCCATTGACCGTACAAAACTGTTTTTTAACACGCTTCTATTAGTTTCACGTGTATGTTGTTTGTTTGTTGTTTGTTTGTAAGTTTGTAACTCTCCAAACGCCACGCGTTATCGCATATTCCGTCGTCTAGACTAGACTGTCATAACGCATTCACCCCTCCCCATGCCACGCTCACCACACGACGGCACACTATTCCTATAAAAATTTATTTTTAGTTATCGTACCCGTATACGCGTGCTTGTCATCAATATTATATATATATAAACAATTTTTATTTTGACTGACCAATACCGCCCGCGTCTAATGCGCCTTACGTATATATATATTTATATATTCCTACCACCGTTTATACCTCAGGTATAACGTTAGTCCTACCCGCCCGCCCACAAAATACTGTTATACCTAGTGCATGATACGTTTACGTACTTAAGTTGCATTATTTGTATATATATTCTAATTACTATTAAAATTTATATATTAACACGATTTATTCTAATTAAGAGATATAAAGTATTCATTCCGATTACGAGGGATGATTCCCGTATCGTCATTTTTCGTCACTACCTCCATGTTCCGGGAGTGGGTAATTTACGCGCCTGCTGCTTTCCTTGGATGTGGTAGCCGTTTCTCAGACTCCCTCTCCGGAATCGAACCCTCATTTCTCGTTACCCGTTACAACCATAACTACTATCATAACTTGAAACTAAAAAGTAAAAAATAAATATAGTTTAAAAAAACTAAAAAAACACGCTTTTAAAGCACATCGAACTAAAAAGTTAAAAATAATTTTTAAAATAAGCTTAAAACAATAATGAACGAAAAATACTAGTATTATTGTAATAAAAGCGTCGGGCGCTCAATATACGAAAAATATGGCACAAAGCACCCACGCTTTTATTACAATAATACTAGTATTTTTCGTTCATTATTGTTTTAAGCTTATTTTAAAAATTATTTTTAACTTTTTAGTTCGATGTGCTTTAAAAGCGTGTTTTTTTAGTTTTTTTAAACTATATTTTTTTTTTTAATTTGTCTCTATGGTTATAAAATAATGTACTATTGTTTTATTCAATTAATACGGAACATGATTTCATAACTATTTTTTTAATTATTTATTTTTGTTTAATTAGATAACAATTGTGATGTGAATGATGATTCAGACGTACTAATTCATTATCCCAGGGGTCAGAAACCATTTAATAAATACCTTTAAATTAATTTTCTTGAGCTAAATTTTTCACATAGTTCCAGTATTATATACAACAATTGTGTTAATTTATATGCATGATTTAAATATTTAATAAATAAAATTAATTATTACTAACATTTCCTTTTATTAGTATTGTCAATAAATACGTGTTACTTAACAATGTGTTAAGTAAACATTATTTTAACGTGTTATACTTATACATTAATAATAATAAAAAATTTAAGTAAAATTTATGTATTGTACATAAAAAAAGCAGTAGCACAGTATTGATGTGGCATAGTTGGATCAAGTATAGATGATATCTGACAGTTATCAAAATCACTATCATAAGAAACGGTTCGATGCAAATCTGTAGATAGTGTTTAATTTTAAGAAATTGTTATATTATTTCAAAAGCAACAATAACTCTTATTCCCTTAATTTTATTCCGATTAGTTATTTGATTTATAATTATAATATATGAATAAATAATACTTACAGTAATTAAATTTAGCATGAAATTGATAGTCAATAATTTAATATTGTAAATTTTACGGAGATATTATAAAAATAATAAAGTAGTTGTACATTTCTTTACTTTTAACGCGTAACTAACAATCATTTTTTTAGAAATGATTTATATAGCAACAAGTTACAAAAATATTTGGAATATTGTAGTCTAGTAGTAACACATACAAATAGAGTAAAAAAATTATCAAATTACAAAGTAAAATGATATAATTTTGTAATTGAAACCTATCATATCGAACTTGATTCGTCAATAAATACTTTGAAAACATTAGAAATTAATGATTTTAATTGTCTGTATGGAGAACATGGTATAAGTAACTGGTTAATTGATAAATTAGAATTTTGTTTCAATTTTTGAGGGTAATATCTTCAACTAGATACAAATTGTAATAATTTGACGTATCGTTGAAAAAAGTAGGTCAAGTTAGAGCAGAGAAAATAAATGATAGTCACAAAAAAATACCTTCTCAGCTTTGCATCGAAGCTAAAACCTAAAATATAGTAAAATAATTTTTATATGAATAAGAAATTTCTTCTCGCAAGGGGCGACTACAGTGATGAGATCCTTGATCTTTATTGACGTTATTGAATATAAATGAGATAAAAATCACATGAGTTGAAAATTTATTCTAAACTAAAAAAAATGAAGAGAAAAATGCAAAAAATTCCTTGCCATACGCGGGTGGTAACCTTATAGCCCAAGCGAGTAAAATACAAGTTTTACCGACTAGGCACCTTACTTCGCTTCCGACGACTGATAAAAATGGCAATTTAAGCTAGTTCAAATTTCAAAATTATTTTTCTCAACTTCAAAAAAGCAAAAAAATTTAAATAAGTTTAACTTTCTATGCTATATCAATTTGATTTATATAATATTTATGACAATCTGTATTCCACTTATCAGGTATTTTAAAATAAAATAAAATACAAAACCTAGAATTTTAACACAAAAATAGCATATTTTTGAATACGGTAGTTATTTTTACCATGAAAATTCAAATCCAGAGGTCAATTTTTTTTTTCAAATTAAAGTATATTACATAAGCTTTATTTTAACATATATATAAAAGTGTCAGTATTTCTAGAACACTTTCAAAAATTAAGTTGAAAAAGTTAATTTTTTGTGAAAAACTTACCAAGTGAAACACTTCTTATGGGCTGGTAAATAGTCAAATATTCACAAAAATATATGAAATGATAGGTAAATACCTAAGGTATCTAAAAAAAAAAATTATATTAATTTGTTCATTTTTAAAAAAGTTATGACAATTTTAATTAAAAAAAATTGAAAAAATGTCGAAAATTAGCGATTTTTAAATTTGTAATTTTTTGGGGGTTTTCTCCCGTTTAAGGAGAACGAAGCAACTTTTTTAAATTTTTGAGGGTAATGTCTTCGACTAGATACGATTTGTGATCTTTTGATGTATTGTTCATCAAAATCGGTCCAGCGAGAGCTGAGATTGACCGTTCACAGACACAAAAAAAAAAAAATTAAAAAAAAAACACATCATAGTAGAATTAATACCTTCTCAGCTTCGCATCAATAATAAACAGTGATGACGACCTTCTAGATAACAACCAATAACGTTTATCGACCGCTACACGCGTAACTGTCGTTTTACCCGCATTTTTGTCTTCTGGTATATTTTCCGTACTGTCACGTTTTACGCACAGTTGTCGTACTGTTCCTTTGATCGAGGGGATCGTCCCGCCTTATCGTGTTGATTCGTTTGGAGTGAAATTAAATCCGGGGGATTGTCCTCGAGCGCACGCGAAACCAATCGTGTTGTCTTGGAATTCACCTACACGATGCGCGGACGAGCGTTTTCCATTTAGCAGATGGACATGAAATTCAAGCGAGACTGCACTCGAATGGATCCAATAATAAAATCGCCAATCGATTTTGTATTTCGACTCGGGCACTTGTCGGTTTCCCATACGTGTTATTATAGCGCCGCACACCATTCAAGTCGAGGCGATGATGTAGTTTTAAGGGCGCGACCTTGGACTTTGCTTGTAATAAATGTGACAATCGTCCGTGTTTCTAATGTAAAGACGTGCGCCATTAATAGACGAATCGGCCAATCCGTGTAGCTGTAATTGAACGGTTCTATTCTCACATAACACATATACGTTGGAACACCGATTAATTGTGCACTGTAATTCGGCAGCGACTTCCGCCGCAACTGGTTCGTACCACCTTAGTTTAATGTACGTTGCATGGTAATTTTTGCAACTGTTAACGCCGAGCAAACCAAGGGATCGAAAATCGTTGCTCTACTCGATTGATTTGTACGCTTCGTTACATTGTTTACCATGTTTCCACTTACTGTATACTTTAATGGATCCGATGGCTGGTCCAACGCTGGCCTAATATTTTCGTCGTGTCGTTATCGATAACGCGAGGGACGTCGTTATCTGTATTGCATTCAGTTGGTGAACTGTTGGTGACGACCATTTGTCGTCGAACAACCATATTGGTCAACAATTGTTGACCGGTACCTTTCATGACTGCAATAATGTTGTCTCTTAACGTTATGGCCTCTGTCTGTTTCATTAACCAGTCGTCCACGTTAAAGTCATTAACCAATGATTGACACGCGTCAGGATATCGACATTCCGCCAGCTTTTCTACTGTTGACGGATAACTTGCACTTACTGTACCCATAGTTGTAAAAAATACTTTTAAAAAGTATTTTAAATAATACTCAAATATTTAAAAAAAAATGTATTTAAAATACTATTTGAATACTTTTCATACAAAAGTATTTGAGTAATACTCAATTACTTTACAAAAGTATTTCAAATACTAAGAATACAATTAAAAAATAATAATAATGTTTTTATTTTAACTAAGAGCAAAAGGTTCCACCTAAATAATTACCAAGAGGGTAATTTGAGTCAAATATTGAGTACTCTTAAATTAAGAGAACTCATTTATTATTTTCGATATTTTTTGTTAGAGGTAAATAAAATTAATTATTGGAGACTAATCAGTGAAAAAAATAAATATTAGTACACGTGTAAAAACCTGTAAAGTATGTCTTATTGACAATAGAGTAAATCATTTGAACCTGCAATAGGCTATTGTAGGTTCAACTGATGTATTAAAAATAGATGTATACATAATAGCATTTAGATAAGCACAATAATTATGTTATACTATAATGTAACATATAAAATAACAGAGAATTATTCTCAATTTTCATTTTGACTGAGTTTAATTTGCTTGCTGTGTTACGGTTAGCAAATTAAAAAAAAAAAAGTATATTAATAGTACTGAATATTAAACAGTATTAAATACTAAATAATTGTATTTAAAATACTACTCAGATACTTTTTATTAAATGTATTTAAAAATACTATTCAATACCAATGAAAGTATTTGAATACTTTTATTCAAATACATTTACTCAAATGCTTTACGCCTTTGACTGTACCGTACGTCACAGCTCGCAGGCGGTCGATTCTCAGTGGCCTCTTTGAATTATCACACTTATTAAATAAGCCTAAACGATTATCATTTCTCGGCCACACTTTCCACCCGTCTAGGTAAAAAAGTGTAATACATGTATAAAAGTGCTAATAGGTTTAGTGAAATCTTTAGTGTTCAATAATAAATCATTCACCCTGTTAAGCTATTTAAATAATATATTTTAAATATTTTTAATAATATTTCACAGTTTTATAGATTTATAAAGTTCATAGCTTTGTAAAAAATTATTAATATTTTTAAGTTTTAATTTACAAGTTTAAAAAAAAAGTATTAGAATGCATAACCGATTTTAAGAAGCCTACTGCATATTAAAAGTGTTTGTACAGAGGAGTAGATAATTTATGGGGAAATGTGGGGGTGAAAACATAAACCCGCAATATCTAGTGCCGATACGGGTTGACAATTTTTAGTTTTATCAATTGATATTATCATTTCTTCATTATTGAATTCAGGTATACTTTATGAGGGATTGGAGATCTTCCTAGCATTTTGATATCTCCACTGATAATCGCAGGGTAACAATGATCATATAACTATTTTCAAAAATTGACGCGATGTTTCGTTTGATATTTAGTTAAAAATATATATTTTTTTTTTTGTAGTAGTATTAATTTTATGAAAATATGGCAACATTTTTTATTGTTTTCACCATTGTTTAGGCCCCCTAAAAAAATCTGAATTGAACACTATATTTTTTTAATATCCATAGTGTAACCATAAGAAGAGGTAGAGGAAGACCAAAAAAGAGATGGAAGGATGCTATTGAATGCGATATGAGAACACCTGATGTGAGAGATCGTGTCAAGTGGAAGTTTAGGATAAGGGTGGCCGACCCCAAGTAATTGGAATTAAGGCGAGGAAGAAGAAGAAGAAAATCGTGTAACCATAATGGTTCAAGCTATATTTTTATAAATTCCGATGAATTATAAAAATCTATTGAATCTGATCAATGTTCAATGTGCAAACATTAAATATTGTATAACAAAAGCGGCAAGACCTTAGTATTACAAACCATCTAGAGAAAATAAAATATGAGTTGTTTTTCTTATCAGGGAATACATTTTATGACAGTTAAAATTAACTTTATTTATTTTGTGAGTACATTATTATTAATAATAATGCAGAAGTTTTTTAATAAAAAAATTAATTTATGACGATAAAATTTGGTTCTATTTGCATTTAAATATTTTACATATGTGTTCGTTTTATTCATTCCCTAAAATAAATTTAGATGAGTTTTTAAAAATATTTGAAAAAAACATTTTCACATTTCTTTATTGTGCGGTAGTATAGTGAAATAAAATTATAATAAAACTGCATTATGCAAAAAAGTGTGAAAATATTATTTGTGATTACGTTGGTGTTTTTAGAATTTGTATCAAGTGATGACACTGAACAAGAAGTTGAAGATTTAGTTGCTAGATATGAAATTTTAATGGAAAGCGATTCTGGGTACGTAAAACCAGAAATTTCGACAAATACGGAGGAGTTAAGAAAATTACCAGCTGAAACATTGAAAAATATGATAGAATTAGAACTAACTAACATACAGTGTGGGTACGTTTACAGTAGTCTTCATTTATTAACTTTGTTAGAAATTTTATGGAAAAAAACAAGCTTTATAGCTTTTGTTATACGTTCAGAACGACGAAAATCAACTGGAAAAAAACTACGTAAAGAACATGGTAAACCAAAGGACGATTCTATAATTGTAGTAGCTAACGAAATGTTAGCTTCAGTGTATCGTTTTGAATTTAGGCCAACATTAAATTTGATGTGGTTGTTTTTCTGTTATGCTGATTATTTAGATAATTATGATCTTGGTTACCATCACATTAGGAAAGAAATCAATCCAAAAGAATTTACTTTTGTATATAACGAGCTGACTAAATTTACCCAGGAATTTTGTCATCTTAATAATGCTTACAACAATAAATTCGTTGATGGCACTTATTATACTGACGTGATAGAAATTTTTGATGATAGAAAAGAATCAGATGAGGTAAGGAAATTTTTGCTACGCTGTAAAACTGATTTGACTCAACGAATTGTAAAAAGTAATCATGACACTAAGATGTTTAGGAAAACTTTTCTTGAATTTCCTATGCATCGGTTGAGACTAAATAGAGCAATAACTAATGAGATTTTTATAGAAACTATTTTGAAAGATTTTGGTAAAATAGAAAATTGGAAATTTATTAAAGAAAAATTAGAAAACGATTACTATTTGTCATTTTCTAATCACCATTTGATAGATCGACTCATAAGTTTAGGGAAGTATCAACAAAATTTTATAAAACTACTCAAAATCATTCTATTACAAGTAACTTGGTCACGTTTAGTACGTATACGAAAATTTCTTTTTGATTTAAACTCTTCAATGTATTTCGCAATAAAGAAATTCAAAATCATATCGAGAAAGTTTTCTGCGTTCTTGAATATGCAGAGACTAGTTAGAGATTTAAAATATTTTACTAATTATTTAGGTCTATATGATGACATTCAATTCAATAGTTACGTTGAGAAGATATACAAAATAAAAAACATCACAATAACAACTTTGAACGAATTAATTAGTAATACAGTCACAACATTAAATTCCTCTTACAAAATGTTATTTAATTGTACTTCCACGTATAATGCTGAAGATACCAACACTTTAGGTTCATTCTTATTATCTGTGTACATTAATCGTGTAATGTATGGCATCGATTTTAATGTCATACAATCTTTTATAGATTTCACTGAATATTTAGAAAAGTTTAGGGGACAAACTAGCGAAAATATTGATGAAAATGTAGACGAAAATATAAATGAAATAGTAGACGAAAATGAGATAGTATTGGCAAATTGATGAAGAAATGTTTTTCAATTTAATTCGCTTTAATGAAATAATAAAATATTATATACGCATGTAACATACATGTATTCTTATTTATGTATTCTTTAAATCTAATAAATATCATAAAAAATGTCATTTTTTTATAAAACCTCGTTTTCAGGCCCGGATTATACTTATTTGATACCCAAGGGTCAAATTTTCTAATGGGCCTCAAAAAAAGATTTTTCATAAAAACTGTAAACAATGTTTCTATTAAAATATAAATAAAAACTACGTTATAACTAGTAATGAGCATTTTTGAATATTTTAATCTATTCGAATTGTTTTCATACAACCGAATAGTTTATTATTAGCATATACTATCTAATAGTTATAAAAACTATTCGAATGGGCTACTGAATGGTTTTAAAAAATATTCGATTAGTTCTACCTAAAATTTTTACTGAGTACACTTAATTATAATAGGAAGATGATTAACAAAAACGTAAAATATATTATTATACAATTAATAATAGTAAAAATTAGTGTAATAAACCAAAAATAAAAATAAAAGAAAAAGAAAGAAATATAAAAATAAATATTTTAATGTAACTTTACTAGAAAAGTAATATAACATATGACAATTATAAAAAAAAAAAATTTATAACTTTAAGTACATAAGGTGTTTAAAAAGTAAGAAAACACATCAATTGTTTGTAACAACTGATCTGTTTCCTTACTTACTGAACACTCTTTAAAATAAATGTTAAACTTAATCAAATTACAATTATAACCATAATTTCGTTACATTTTTAGTCTTTTAAATTATAAGCTTAATTTCACTTAATCTTTGGATTTCTTTTATATGATGACTTTACTGTATAGTGTACAAAGTAAACTTTGGCAATAATTTTATACTAATACTCTTTTCGGTACTTGAGGAAATCACTCACGACACATACATTAAAGCAGGCAAGTAGCTAGGATTACACGATTACCCCAACTTTGGGGTAATACTTTGGTCACCCCGACCAAAGTATGGCCAACATTTTTCTTAGGTGGCCACCATTTACTTACTCCTCCCCTTGAAATTATTTATCAATTACTTAGTATTATTTAATTATTATTATTACTCAATTATTTAAGTTTTAGAACGTGGGTGTTTTAGCCATATATTGAGCTATGGGGTGGCCAATAAATATTTAGGGTGGCCTGGCCACCTCTTAGCTACGTGCCTGCATTAAAGCCTCACAAATAAACAAATAATTACAGGAGCTATAGCTCAGTGTCAACAATATAAGCAAGATCATCAAAACAGTCCTTAGATTTTCCAATTTTTTTTCCTAGCTATTTTGTGTATTTTTTAAAATAAAGGATGGTCATAATGAGTTCAAGTATAACCAAGGTTTAACGCAGTGGGGTACTCATGATTTTATTTCTAATACAAAAAATATAGTGGTTAAACTCTTTTTAGTTGATTTTTTACCTAAAAAATCTAAACCAAAACCAGGTTTAACACAACCAATGGCTTAGCTTAACTTTGAACTTCCATTAGAATTTTTCATGGTTTAACACATATACTATACAGGTGCGGCAACATAACTTCCTTTTTTGAAATGCACGCCATTCAAGTTATATAGTTCGTAGCGGGACGAGAGTGGTGTCATTTGACAGTCGTGGTAATAAAGTTTTGTTCTCATACCAGGCAGTCGCCATGATGCGTTGGAACAGTGAGCAGCGTGTGTTTGCCGTGGAGGCTTACTTTTCGAACAGACGTTCTGTAATCGCAACTCAGCGCGCCTTTCGAAATCGCTTTAACGTAGTCCCGTTCCAGACAGGAAATCTATTGTTACATAGGTAAATACGTTTAGACAAACCGGGAATACCACAAAACGAAAAACTGGAGTCCTTCGGCCCATCAGATCACCTGAGAATATTAAGGCAGTAAGAACTTCAATCTTGCAATCCTCATGGCGCTCTACGCGTAAAAATGCGTTTGCCTTTGGACTTGCCGATCGTTCAGTGACGCGAATTTTTCACGATGACCTACATTACCATCCAAACAAGTTGGCGATTGTGCAGGAACTCTCCGACCGCGATTTTAATTCTCGAAAAAATACATATGAGCCGCTTCTTAAAAACGTTACTGAGGACGCAACTGTTTCTTACAGCGATGAAGTCCATTTTCATTTAAGTGGACGATGAACAGAAAATACGCTACTGGGCTGACATCAATCCGCGAGTATTGCATCAAAGGCCTTTGCATTCGCCTAAAGTTACAATTTGGTGTGCAATTTCCTTTGCCGGAATTGTTGGTCCTTGGTTCTTTAAAGAAAATGAGGTCACAGTGACAGTGAATTCAGACCGGTACGTGACCATGTTGGAAAAATTTTTTCCCCCACGACTTGACGAATTGGACTTAGGGACATTTGATTCCAACAGGATGGAGCAACGGCTCACACTTCGAGGGCATCAATAGATGTGTTAAGAAAACACTTCCCGAGGCGCCTTATCTTAATAAGGGGCGATTTGGAGTGGCCTGCCCGTTCGCCCGATTTGGCCCCTTGCTTTTTTTTTTGTGGGGTTTTTTGAAATCCCGCGTATATTTCAACCGTCCAAGGACCCTACAAGAACTAAAGGCCAACATACAGCCAGAAATTGCCAACATACCCGCTGCTATGGTGGCAAGGGTCATGACAAACGCTGGAAATCGCCTTATTCAATGTATGGAAAATGGGGGGTGTTATCTACCAGATATGATTTTCAAAACTGTGTAAAACGAAACTTTAAATATGTGCTTACATTCTTTTAAAAATAATAATAATAATAATGTTATATAATAATAATTATAAAATGTGTTTTATTGTATTTTAAAAAAAGGGTGTTATGCTGCTGCACCCTGTATTTTAATAAAAGAATATGGATACAA